TAATTATTATTATTATTATTATTATTATTATTATTATTATTATAATTATAATAATTACAATAACAACAACAAGAATAATAATTATAATTATTATAATTATTATAATTATTATTATAATAAAAAGGATAAATCATGTCTGAACTTTTCTGATCTGATCTGAATGTTCCTGATCTGATCTGAATGTTCCTGATCTGATCTGAATGTTCCTGATCTGATCTGAATCTTTCTGATCTGATCTGAATCTTTCTGATCTGATCTGAATCTTTCTGATCTGATCTGATCTGATCTGAATTTTTCTAATCTGATCTGATCTGATTTGAATAAAATAAGAATAAGCAATAAGTAATAAGATTAAGACGAACAGAACAACTTCTAAGTAAGGTAATTAAATAATAATATTAAAGCTAGTAATAATAAAGAGATCCGTTAATAAACAGTAACATAAAGATATAGGCAAACGAACCTAACTAGTTCTAGGGTGTTTATGGGATGCGCAGTCACCGTTGACAACATACTCCCTCCGTCCCTAATAACTTTGCTAAGTTTGACCGGCACGTTGATTAATAAAGTAAAAACTGTGTGGTTGAGGTTTGTGCAGAGGAGAGAGAATTAATTGGAACCACAAATTCTTTACTTAAATGGGAAAGTGACAAAGTTAATGGGACATCCAAAAAAGGAAAGTTGGCAAAGTTATAAGGGACGGAGGGAGTATTTGACAACTTTGGAGCCCAGACAAATTGTGGACCTTGTTGTGGTGAGGCTGGCAATTCGCTCAAGATTCACTTTTGGCAAGGAAGTTGCGGATTAATCAAGGCTCAGATGATTAGGGGCGAGGCTTCTCCATCGCTTCGCGATTCAATCCCGGCAATCACCTGGTAGTAGGATTGTGTGACCGGTGGTCAAGGAGATGGCGTTTGATGTTTGGCGGCGTGCTTTTGGTGCCAAAAGTGAATGTATGACATAAAATAAAATGTGGTGAACAAGGAGCAAAGTGAGGAAGAAGATGCAGTATTGCTAGTCCGTCCTCTTCCAGAACCGCCGCATGGAGGGATCATGTGGCTACGGTTTGAAAGACGCCGCTTCAAGTTTGGTTTTAGCCACACGTGGTTTAAGGGTCTATATTTCTTTTCAGATTAATTTATATTTTTTTAGATTTTTCCCTTTGTTTTTTGTTTGTTTGTGTTAGTAATGTTTTTTAGGCGCTTATGATCGTTATTTGCTTGAAATTCTCGTATGTTCAGCGAAAATTTTCGCTCTGCTTTGAATGGACTTTTTCATATCTAATCAGGGTCTAAAGGGACTTTTCGTCTATTTTTAGTTTATTGATGTGGTAAAGATTACAATGACTTTAAGAATTAGAAAGAACTCCATGTTTCTCATTTGGTGCTCAGCGATTCTCGCTGTTTTTTTGGAGGTGGCCGTCTCAGAGTCTGATCGTAGAGCTTTTCATGAGTGTAGATCGAGTCTATTAGAAGATAGTTGACTTTGAATTATTGGTTGATTGTAACTGCAAACTATTGATTAAATTAAAATAGTTTGACGTTTTTCTTTTCAAAAATACTTTAAGACATCAGGTCTTTGTTGTATTCAATGTGCAGTTGTGAATCACATTCTTAACTTTAACTTGGAATTGGTTGCGTAAAAAAAATGCTTCGCCTACAGTCTACACGTTTCGTGCATCTACACTCCCATCTTGTCTGTACATAGACACTATTTTTTCGTTTTTATAAAATGAATTGTTTGTAATAAAGAGGATGAGAGGAAAGTGAATTGTTTGTATTATATTACAAACAATTCAATTTACGAAAATGAAAAACAATTATCCGTGCATAGATAACAACGATACAATTTGTGGTACACATGGGATACAATTGTACATTTGTACATGGGATGTACTGTTTGCTGGTACAAACAGACTTTGGTGGTTACATTTCCTCGATAATCTTTCAACCCGACTTCTAGAACAGGGATACATAAACCATTAGATTAGGCACTTAGGTCTACCAATAGCTGGAATTTAAATGAGAAAATACGATTTGAGATTCGTACGTGTTATTATTGAATGGTTCAAATCCAGAACATGTAATGTGAATTTACTCCGGAGTCAACGGCTTTACCTTTTTGTTTTCTATACTACTCCGTATGAATGAATCATCTTAAGCCTGTTTAGTTCAAGTAATTATTTATGTCTGCCGGAATATATTGTTGAGAATTATTTTAGTTCATGGGTTTAAGAATACTTCAGATAACGTAAGGAGACATTTACTTAGTTTTAATTTATGATTTTCCTTAGCTTTGTCCCTTTTCAATTCATCTTCTATTACGTTCTTATTCTGATACGACTTTTAAGTCATTAATTTCATCATTTTTCTTTTTAACCGGTGTTTAGCAAATAACTTGGAGCATCTTCAATACTATACTATAATGTGTATGGTGCACATGTGACATGCAAGAGTGCGCGACACACAAAATATTAAATTTATGTGTTTTTGGTAAATTTTTCTCAACAATGTCAACCATAATGTCTACATTTGAATATTGTGCTTGACATTGTGAAAACAAATTACCAAACACATATAAGACCATTCAAATAAGGAGAGGGAGATTTTATTTGGTGTTTTTTGATCGACTATCTCTTATACCATGTATGCACGATGTTTTTCCATTGGAGATGCTCTTATAGGTTTCGTACATTTAGTAACAGTTAGAGAATTATACAATGAGTTGAGTAACTTCAATCAATTTTTATTGTTGTTTTTCATTTGATTTGTGTCCATTTCATTCGGAGCGCACACATTATATTATTACTATACTTATTTTACCTTTTGGGTTGCCTTATTGAAAAAATATTCCTTATTAGATAACTCTACGGATGTTTTCTTTTGGACTGAAATTTGCTGGTCTGGTCTGGTCTGTTTAAGTCTGGTCTGGTCTGGTAAACGTCTGGTCTCTTTGTATTTTATAACTGTCCAGGTTTGGTCTGGTCTGTTTAAGTCTGGTCTGGTCTGTTTAAGTCTGGTCTGTTTAAGTCTGGTCTGGTCTGGTCTGGGATTGAAAACAGTCGAAAAGAAAACATCCTACATGATGGTATACTTTAGCTTTGAAGAGACTTGAGATTGTGAGAAATCAGAGAAATCAGAGAAATCAATGACAATCACAACATATGGAGTACTAATTACCAATTTCTTTTTAAACCATCGAGGATGTCTCGAATATATATTGCATTTAAAAAAAGAATTGAGGGTCGAATAAAAATACATTATGTATACAGAGTACGGAGTACTATACTTCCCCGCATTGAAATATTTGCTATAATAAAATTTGATACTCCCTCTATCTCTAAATTATCTTTAAGTTTCATTTTTCGTTCATTTTAAAATAATTTTCCATTTTCTTTTTTGGTAAAGAGTTTGTGTTCGACAACATTCTTTGTGTACACATTCTTACACATTATTTCTCTCCTCTGCACAACTCTTCACCACACAATATTCAATTTCTTAATTCTCGTGTTGATTGTAGTTTGAAGATATTTAAAGTAAAAGTAGTAGAGATAACATATACGGAGTACTACTTAGTATAGAAAAAGTAGGAAATATGATGAAAATAAAGAGAAAAAAATAGAAAAAGTAGATGTAATTATGTGAAATAAAGTGTAACAAAAATAAGAAAATCCCAAAAAATGGTAACAAACATTTCAATATATAGAGAAAGTAGTTTAATACGGATTACAATTTTATGAATTTAAAAAAAAAACACATAAGTGAAAATATTTTGATAAGTATATGCATGTGTAATGCTTTTTTAACTTGTAATTTATAAAATTTCACCAAAATACACTATTTAAAAGAATTCATAAAATTCTATTAAAAATTGAGGATTCATAAATTTTGATGGAATGAATAAAATTTTCGGATCACCGAATGTAAGAGAATCTTTGTATAGGATGAATCGGGTGAATCTTTGATGAAATTTTGGCTTAAATTACTTTTATACATATGAAAAAATCACAATTGGACTTTTACAATATTTTCAGTCAAATTATTACATTTCTTTCTATGTTCCTTTAAACTTTGCTAATTTTCTTTTTTTGTTTGTGTAAAAAAAATTATTTTTCTTTTAATCAATGAGTTTAAGACTTTATTTATTTCTCTTTTCTCTGTACAAATCTCTATCACTCAAGTTTTACTTTTCTAATTCCATACTCAATATGAAGTTGATAAAATTGAGTGAGACAATATAATTCAATATAATCACTTTTATAATTTTTTTTCAGTCGTGGCGGTCTGTCTGGGGTTTATCCCTAGTTTTCTTTTCCGGCGGCTCCTGCACGTCTGACGTGTTCTAGGCGGTTGCGTATTGAAGTATAAGGCATCTCAGGTACGTGAGTCGTCCTCCTCGCCCTGCAGAGCTGGTGCGCATAGGGTTCGAGGACCGAGTTTGCTAACAAGGCTTTTGTGCGATTTACGAAGCTTCTTTATTCAGAGTAATCATGAGTTTACCGAGCTGGAATTGCAGAGGGAAGGCGTTGCAGATGTTTTGTTGGGTTGGTATCGTCGGGGAAGGAGCAATAGTGGGGCGTCTCCTCATAGTTGATCGGAGGGAACCATTGCGAGGATGCCGAGCGTTCCGCAGTTGTTCCCGTACGGGCAAAAGAAGACGAAGAGATGTTGATTCGTCCCCTTCCTGAACCGTCGCCATGGAGGCATTGTGCGGCTAGGGTTTGGAAGGTTGTCTCTATTTTTGTTTTAGTTGTTTGCATTTTTACTTCGAACGTTATGTTGTTTTGTTTGTCACGTACGCTTATTTCTGTCAGACTCTTACATTAGGTAGAGATGATGAGAGTTTTGCTCTGGCCATGATAGGCTCATATAGACCCATTATAGGATCAGCAAATCATATTGCTCTGGTTAGGGTGATTGGTTCTCAGGCTGATTCAAGGGTCGGTGGTTGTTCCCTTTATCTCTGTAGTCCTTTGGTGAATGTTTTATTATCAATATAAGCAATCTTGTTCCAAAAAAAAATCAATTTATATAAAGCGATAAGGATTCACCAAACGTGCCCTCCATATGCAAAGACATCCGTAAAAGTCAAATTTGTCCAAATTGAAGAGGTGAGATATTTTTTATACAGTGAAAAAATGAGGATAAAAACTTGACATATAGAGTATCACATTAAATACTCCCAAAATCCTCTTTCCAGTTCCCCTATCACCCCTCCATCTTTTCAAATTTTCGACTTTCCTCCCCATACTTGTGTTTTTTGTTGCTTTCATTCTCCACCTAACCATCTAGCGTAACTACTAGGCCATGAAAGTAGTAAATAACAATCCGTAGTAGTTAGCGATCTCATCTTCAACTTCCCAGAACCCATCATTGTCCTGCGACCCCCCGGCGTTGATTCCGCTCAACGCGCCGCCGTCGACGACGTCGCCGCCGCTCGGAATTCCAAGATCATCATCAGAAGCCTCAAGAAGGCGCCTCATGACACTTACTTCATCCTCTTCCACGATTTTGTCACGAGGGAGAAATCCCGGGTTCAACTCCAAACCCGTTCTGGGACCGACCGGTCCGACCACCGGACCGGGTTGCTCCGCCGTGTTGCAAGGCGGAGGAGGCTCAAAAGAGGAAGAATGAGAGGCCGAAGGAGAGCAGAGCTCTTGTTGGAGGGAAGTAAAAATGGCTGACAAATTTTCCTGCATGGGTTTGTCTTTATCATCGTCTTCTTCCTCGAGAATGGAAAGAAGATGGTTATATTTTTGGCGCTTTGAGGTTTCTTCATCGACTGATTCAGTGGTTTCATCTCTGTGACGTTTAAGCTGTGTTTGTGTGGCAGCCATATAATTAAAGAGTTATTACAGGCAGAATGGCAGATGATTATTTTGATGAAAAAGGTTGGGACTTGGAGAGAGGAGATGCGAATGAATTTATGATGGGCGAAGGTGGGAATTAAAAGGTATAAATAGTGCTCTTCCAAAAAGAAAAAGGTATAAATAGGTATAAAAGAATAATCCGAACCCGCATAACCCACCCGAACCAACTCTACCCAACCCTATTTAATCGGGTATTTGATTTTAAAAAATATTCATGAGTTAAATATATTTGAACTCGCACCTAATGGGTAGGTTTGCGGAATTAAAATCTCAAACCCGATAGTACCCGACGCGGCCGAAGTTTATTTTACTATTATTATGCTACAATATTTTCTAGCTTGGACAATTTCAATTTAAGACCAATGTACTCTATCTAGGACTTTATGATATTAAAATTATAAGTAAATATTTACCATTTTGACTAGATGACTATTATATATTTATGTTTCCTTCTAAATGAACTTCCTTTAGAAAAGGATATTTTAATACTATTATCTGATTTTTTGTCTATAAAAGATATGAGTACTTGTATTTGTTTGTGTGTTTTGGAAACAAATTAATTGAGTTTTAAATTGGTTACATTAATTTTCCACATGAAAGATGCAATCCGAAGTGATTTTTTTCCCCAATACCCAACCCTACTCGACCCGTTCATGCATGGTTTAGCAACTTATTTTGCGTATCGCGGGTTGGTTAATAGTCAACCCGAACAAATGAGGTAGGCCCAAATTTTCTTGCATGGGTTTGACTTTATCATCGTCTTCCTCGAGAATGGAAAGAAGATGGTTATATTTTTGGCGCTTTGAGGTTTCTTAATTTATACTAGTATCAATAAAATATATTATAAAAAAAATTCTATGCTTCATCATATTTGAAATAATTCACTACCTTCAATCCGAATTTCTTTAATTTGATCAGATTCTGTTAATTCACCGAATTGCAATGTCTACAAATGGACACTAAGTAGCACATTTCCCTATTTTTATCTGTGATGGTGAATTATACACTACTACTCGGTCCCTTAAAATTTTGCCCAAGTTGACCGGCACAGAGAATAATAAAGTAAAAACTGTGTGGTTGAGGTTTGTGCAGAGGAGAGAGAAATAACAGAAACCACAAAATAATTGACTAAAAGGGAAAGGGGCAATGTTTTTTTGGACGTCTCAAAAAGGAAGATGACAAAATTTTAAGAGCATCTCCAATGCTATAATGTCCACGGTGCACATGTGGCATGAATGATAGCCACATAAATATTAGTAAATAAATTATTTCTCTCCTTATTTGATTGATTTTATACAATTTTGGTAAGTTTGTCCGTGCAATGTCAACAACAATGTCAACATCTTGATGGTCTCCTTGACAGTGTGGAGAGAAACTTACCAAAATTGTATAAAATCATTCAAATAGGGAGAGAAAAAAATTTATTTACTAATATTTATGTGGCTACTTTTTATGCCACATGTGCACCGTGCACATTTTACCATTGGAGATGCTCGAAGAGACGGGGGAGTATAACTCAAAACAATTGAAATACGGAGTATAATTTTGTTCACACTGTGATGATAGATGTTGACTTGCACTTTATTAGATTGCCATGGGCACATCAATTCTTTTTTATTTTGCAATTGTTATAACTTTTTCATTTTTTTTTTTTGAAAACTTTTTCATTTATAATTCAATATTTTTAAATACTAAGTATATCATTTTTTTAAATTTTTACTCCGTATAATCTTTGGTATGTTACCGAGTACTAATAATGAAATATTTGCCCTGTTTTTTTTTTCTTTTACTTTTTCATTGTTACTTAATTCAATTGCCCTCACCCTATTCTTTAGGCAAAAATGCTATTGGTACCCCAAAATGGGGTACCCCATTCTTACCCCGGCCTATTGTGCGGTCATAAACGAGGCAACACATTTAAGTGGTCCCTACTTAAATGTGTTGCCTCGTTTATGGCCGCACAATAGGCCGGGGTAAGAATGGGGTACCCCATTTTGAGGTACCAATAGCATTTCTCTTCTTTAGGTGTGATAATTATTACTGCAAATGCCAACGCACTCTTACCTCATTGATGATCTCACCAAGTTTGCTCTTCGACCTGACCCTTCGACTTTGTTGTAAATTGTTGCTTGTTTTCTAGTGTTCCAAAAAATGTTCGGGCTCAAAACGGTACATTAGCGCGTTTTTAATTGGGAAAAAAGTTTGCTACACTTTTTTTTAGGATGTATTTAAAAGTTTGCTACATTTTTTTTGATTAGTTTTTTCTTTAAAAATACTCAATTAGCATTCTTTTTCTACATTTTATCTTCTCTTTCATACTTTTCCACCTTCTCTCTCCTACTTTTTCTACACTATTCATTACCTCTACTATTTCTTCTATAACATTATGCCAACGTTATTGTAGAGAACATATAAATACGGAGGGGGTACAAAAAGTTGTTACCCAAATACCCCTTGAATTAGTCCATAAGAGCCTCCCACATTCTGACCCAAAAAGACACTAAGAAGGTTGTAAGTCACGATGACTTAGTCGTTCCAATGATATAGACTTTGTATTCGTGCGCACAAGAGGTTCAACTCAGCACGCAAGACTTATGACCTCTACACAGTCGTTGTGAGTTTAGATCTTTCGTTAATGTCTCAATTTTCCCATCACTCAAGCAATGAGCTACCCGTGCGGGTATTTTTTTTGTCGAAGAGGTATTTGCTTTTGTTAGATATGATGATCATTTAAATGATCATATCTAATACTCCCTCCGTCCCGCTAGAAGGTTCTCATAGCAAAACGACACGGTTATTTAGGTTATAATTAAATAAATAACTTCGGGTATATTTTGAGAAATAATTTTAATAGGTATATATTATAATGTGTTAGTATTGATAACTGTGATGTTATAAATGTATTATTTTTAATATTTAATGACTAATTTGTCACTTAAGATTGTTAATTGTTTCCTAAAATGAAAATGGGAACCTTCTAACGGGACATCCAAAAAAGTAAAGTGGGAACCTTCTAACGAGACGGAGGGAGTAACAATTAAACATATTCTTACAAACACTAAAAGCCTTTTGTTGATTCTATTTTACGGCTAATAAGATTTTTCGGAGGGAGTAACTTTTGATTTGACGTGTTGAATTGTTAATAATAAGATAAAGTAAGGTTTAAATTATTTTCCTGACTGTATTGACTTAAGTTAGTGCGTAAGATCATTTTAGTTGTTTTTCATATACTTTTTCTTTATTTTATTAATAAAATATAGGGATATTTTGGCTTTGCACCCCACTTTTTTGGTTATATTGGACTTTGCACCCCATTTTCAAAACTTTTACTCTACACCCTATTTCCCCTAAAATGTCTTTGCCTTTGCACCCCATCTAGGAATTTTTCTTCACAAAATGTTGTAGATAGGGCGCAAAGTCTAAAAGTTTTGAAAATGGGGTGTAAAGTCCAATATCACACAAAAAGTGGGGTGCAAACTCAAAATTCCCCTAAAATATATTTTAAATATAATTTTTCTAATAAATCAGCAGAATCAGTCAATCCAACCACTTCAGTCAGAACTTCGTAAATTTCAGCAAAATCAACCAATACAACTAATTTGGGTATTATGAAATGGACTATAAATAGAGATTTAGAGCCCGTTTGGTAACTCTAAAATTGGTTGAATTGGTTGATTCTGCTAAAAAATTATATGAAAAAATAGCTAAAATGATCCTCTACAGTAACTTCAGCCAATACAGCCAGAAAAGTAACTTCAACCTTACTTTCTCTGCTTATTACGTAATTCAGTGCACAAAATCAAAAGTTACGTGTTTGGTGAAAAAACTGGCTGATAAGTCTGATAATCCGGAAAAGGAGATCACCAAACGGGCCCTTAGGCTCTATTTTGTAATGGTTAACAACTACTACCTTCGTCCCATATTATGTGTCTCATTGGAGTTTGAGACAATTATTTATAAAGTTATTGAAAATGTAAAAGTTATGGTTGACATTTGAATATAATAAAGTGAAATGATGTGGACCACATATTTCTTTCCAAAAATAAAACGTGACACTTATTTTGTGACAACACGAGATGAGGAGTAATATGTTTTTAAGAATTTGGACTTCATTGCATACGTGTATTGTGTAATTATTTTGACCGTCATCATGTGCTTACACAGTAAACAACTAAGGGAGTGTTTGCAAATGCTTAAAAAAAGCACTTCTCAGCTTTTGGCTTTAAAAAGCACTTATTTACCAAACACTACCAATTTTTACTTTTTCTCGGCTTGCGTGTGAAAAGTGCTTTTCCCTTTTCTATTACACAAAAAGCACTTATTTTACCAAACACTACCAACTTTTACTTTTCAAAATCACTTTTTTTTCAAACACTATCAACTTTTACTACTAATCACTTTTTCATTACTTCTCCAAAAGTGCTTTTTTTTTAAGCAGGAGCAGTTGCAAACACTCCCTAAAAATTCTCAAAATATATGACCGCATTTAATTTTTTACTTACGGAGTAGTAAACAACCGCATTTAACTTGACAAATTGTGCGCTGCAACATTGGATCACCATCGATCACAATAATAGAGAAAATTACTCTTAGTAAGAATTAGTTTATCGGAAGGTTTTATTTAGTTCTGTTTTAGAAAACTTAATTTTTAGTTGCCAGATTTATCCTCCACTTTAGTCTGTGTATCAAAGACGTGACTTGGGTAGCGTATTAACGATCAATCGCTTCCGATCTGCAACGATCAATCTCTTCCGCAGCGACAAATCTCTCCTCCTCCTCCTCCTCCTCCTCCTTAATGGGAAGCCATCGTGCGGTGACAACGTCTTCAAATTCCGATTGAGCAGCGCTGGTGATTCCATTAATGGCTTTCACGATGGATATTTACACACCACAACTTCTGCTGCCAGCCCCGATCCCAATCCGCTTCGTATCTAAAGTTATCATGTGATTCGTCTGTGGCTATTACGATGCTATTCGGTGGAAATTTTAATTGTTTTATTCCAATCTTTCATTGGTAAGTTTATCACTCAATTTATTAAAATTGTCACTATTTGATATTTTCATG